GCTTCAGTGGTCTCTTTGGATACATTTCTGTCCTCTACTGGCCAGAGGTCAAGTTTTCCAGAAGCTAGTTGCCTGTATAAATTACAGTGCACATATTTTACATCTCATTGTAATGCTTTCTTTTGCCAGCATCTGCTTCTTTGCAAATGTTCCATTTCCAAGCCATTTTTGTGCAAGCCCCAGGAGAAGCTATCAGACAAGCGTGCTGAAAATTTATCCACAGGCATCATTAATGCACATCTGGCTGATGAAGACATACAGTTTATATAAACTGCAATTTGGAATGCCTCTTCTTCCAAACAGCTAGTCCTAGAAGATACCATTTGTTCAGGAAAAATAGGACCAGGGGAAATATCTGAATGTCCAGTACAAGAAGTCAGACTGCCCACAGCTATTTTGGGGCAAGACAAAAAACTTGGTACTGTTGTGTTTGAATAATTTTCAGTGTCAGCATTTGGAGCACCAATACAGTAGGAGGCTGCAGGAGAGGCACTGGGTAGTGAGAGACCAAAAGGAGGTATGATACGTCTGCTTGTGGGCTTGGGTGTAAAGTCACGATGTTGAGATTATGTTGGGACTCCCAGATGTCTCTCTGGAAACAAGCAACTCAAGGACTGCAAAAGCAGAAAGATTGTAAGGATGAGATTTCTGCATTGGGATACCCTGGAAGAAGTCTGGGGACTTTCTGCTATTTCTTTCTTTTTCTTCTGTCACAGTTATGGTGAGAGTACCAACCACTGGGCATTACGGCCCATCATGTAAAATGTGGGGAAGGATGTTTCAACAATCTTCATGCCAAAAAGCAGTGAACATGAAACTAGCTCTTTGGTGCTTAAAGGAACATGAAATGGGCCAAGGGCAACATTTCTGAGCTGAACGTCAAGAAGCAAACGTTAGAGAATTGATGATATAACATACCTGTCAAGATCAATAAATGGGTGTCTAGGATCCACTGCAAAATGAGAACCAAAAAGATTTGTCATGCTTTAAGCCCCCCAAATGTACGTTGAACTACCACACTTCACCCGACTTCCCTATCATCTATTAATGCCTGTAAAGTGCCATGTTTTCATACTATGGGAAACGGATGTAACTCTGAGTTATAGAGACAATGCTGGTCCCAGCAGGATCTATGCTGTAAGAAGTCACCCGTTCCTGTGCTGTTTGGATATGGCAGTTTATGGCAGGACTGTACTTCCACATGCAGCCTCTTCTTTCTTCCATGAAACTGCCTTTATCTCAACGCATGAGTTTTCCATCTCATTTTCTTCCCCTGTCCTACTGAGGAGGATGGAGGGAGCAGCTTGGTGGGCACTTGGCAGCCACCCCACCACATAAAGCCATTCTGAAACTAGTTTTACAGATAATTTTTAATCACTGCTTGGTGAACATTCAGAGGCTGGTCTATGGTAAACCACTGAAGTTGGTTACTATCTCTATGAAGCCCAGTAGGCATGACACTTATCCTGCTTCTCTGTGCCCCAGCAGAAGGGGCCAATAACACACAGCAAGTATAAAGTTTGCTTATGGATATATAGAAGATGAAGGAGAAAAGAACCAAGCAGGAAGGCTGAACTTACATTTTGTTCTCTTGTCCTTCTACCACCTGCAGCATCAAAGGACTGTGCAACAGAATCACATAATGGCAGTGAGGTTATAACTGCTCAACCCCAACTCTGCCTTGGTCCAGAAAATAGCTGTATCCAACCTCTACTGAGCAAAGGCATGAAGTACTGCCCTTTGCTCTGATGCTTTGGGCTCTGATCTTGTCTAATCTATCCCATCTTATCTAGCACTACCATGGGTGATCTTGCTTCCCTCTAAATGGCTGCCTTCATAGTTCATGAAAATACCTGTCTGTATGTGGAAAACAGTGTCACAAAAAACCCCACACCACACAGAAAACACTGAACCCGCAATCCATCTCACCTCATCACAGGCATTAATTGTTTCCTCTGGCCTATAAACGTAATCTTGGCTGAATTAAACTCCACCCAGCTTAACTGTCAGTGTTGGCCACATACTAAAAAAAGTTATGTGCTGTGCTGTTATCTGTCACAGCTTGGTAACAGTAAAATTGTGCCTTGTCTGTTTATTGTTGGCAAAGGTTTCACAAAGTCCCATTATTTCTCCTTGAATCCGCACATAAACACTGAATGGGACAGGACTGCGAATGAAAGTCCTTTCCTGGTTAACACATTTCCCCTCAGCCCATCTGTCACCCTCGGAGCAGTATCAAAGCACTGCTGCTAAGGAATAGCGTGAGAAGACTTGGGAGGGAGTATGCTCTTTAGTCAAGGAAAACAGAGGATGATCCAAGAGTTCCGTTTATTTTTAAATAGATGATTCATATTGCCTTGTAAGCATATTGACTGATTTACAGAATTTTTTTTAAATGAAAGCAACAATTATCCCCTTGCCTCACTACCGAGGATTTTTTTTTTTTCTGATAGAGCATAACCATACCATCTTTGGAGCTGCTCAGGATATATGAGTGAGAACCTCTTAAAATATTAAAAAATCCTAAGTCATTATTATTGTGAAAATAATAATCACCGAAGTAGTCCTGAAAGAGTCCTAATTTCAAATCTGGGTTAAAGTTGATTGGACTAGAATATTACATGTAGACATATGCTCTTTGTTAGTTTTCTGATAGCTTCTCTACAACTCAATAACAAAGGCTGCAGCATCCTAAGACACTGGTTGAACGGATGCCACAGATATTGAAATGGATGTGAAAGATGAACTCTGACTTGGACACCTTCCAGATGAAAGCACTTGGCCCAAACTGAAGACAGAAAATGGCTGCTTAACGGATTGCTTTTAAAAAGCAAATATATATTCATGTTTTTCTCATCCAAACAAAAAACATTCCTTATCTAAAAGGAGGAGACTCCTTTGTCTAGGAGCAAAAATCAGATTTAGATGGTTCCACAGATTGGCAACATATTAGGCCTCCTAGCAACGTTCTTCAGTACCCTTCGCATGCAGACTTGGCTCTGTATTTCAACTGCCTACTGTACGTGGCAGTCACAGACTTCAGGATATGACTGTACATGGAGTCTGTGTCTGGCAGCCCTGAATAGTAGGTGGTCTGAATTGCTCATTACTCTCATGCCATCAGATTTGGGGCAGCAAGTTAAGCAGTGTGCACAGAGCTCTTGGGCATGCAGTCAGAAGAGGAAAACATATCCTTTGTGCTCCACTTTTCAACAGTTCTTGCATCACTTCCTTAATGTACGGTGAGCTGAGATGCAAGCCATCAAACAAGCCCTTAGAAATTCTCTTGGGGCTGCTCTTCCCAAGTGCTGTCTAGCCAGACACTGTGGGATGTTCTTTTGCTGTCTGAAAATGTCCCCTTCTTAATTTTATGAACAACTTTCTTCTAAGAAAGCACTTCTGTATCTTTTATGCTAAGACTTTGTTAAAATACTTTGCAATTATTTACATTGTACCTTGGCTAAAGCAGCATGCTAGAGAGAATTCAGCCAGGCAGCAAAGTAGTTTAGTTTAGGGAAGGGGGTGGTGTTTCCCCTCATTAATGTGTTTCAGAGGTAAAAAATGTTTTCTGCAGCAAAATGCCTCTGACAGCAAGTCTGTATGGGTCTGTCCCTGAATGTTCCTTGACTACTTTCTTTTTAGTTTAACAAAGGCTGTATATCATGCATCAAATTTCTGATGTATTTTTACAGTATTACAAATGCAATACATTTCATACAAAACATCATTTATAACTTCAGTTTTAATATAGCACAACCATAATACTTCTTCCTAAGACTTCTTCAGCTGCCCTTTTCTGCATTTTCAGGTATTGTCAAAATCACTCAAACACAGAGTCCTACGTATGACATCAACTGGAAAAAGAGAAACAATCAGAGTACTGATTTTTGCATATGAAGAAATTTTTCATTATACAGACAGGAACTACTGTATAGACAATTCACATCTATCAGTCCTCACAGATCCTGCCTGGTTTATTTTTGATAGTGTATTTTCTTCTTCGCACAGGAGGCCTTTGTACGTCAAAACCGCATAAATTCTGTTTTATTAGTGTAGTACAAGCACTTAGGGTGGACAACAAGGAAGCATTTTATAGCCATGCAAATACTGATACAGGAAGGCCAAAGTGCAAGGTTATTCTATACTAGCAAAAATATATCTATGCAAGAAGAAGTAGTAGTACACCTATGAAGCTATAAAATTACTACAGGTGTGCATGTGTATACCCACATATACACACCTACCTTGCAAACAGATACTCAGCAATTTATCATCAAGATCTGCAAAAAATGATCTGTCCAAATCCTCACCTTCATTACAGGGGTGTGCGACTTGTGTGGACCTGTTAAGATTTTGACCTAACTTTTCACCTCGAGAAACCATATGCAGGGCTTCGGGCTGGCACCTTTAGACGCCGACCTGCCCCTAAGCCCTCACTTGACTCAGGAAGCCGGGAAGTGACCCGGCTCCCGAGCAAAGCCTTCTTCAACGGAGAGCCCGTGCGCGGCGGACAGAGGGGCGGCACCGAGCCTGAGAGGGCTGTAGGACGAGGCGGGCTCCCCCGGGGGAGCCGGCAAGCCGGACACCCCACACCCGTGGACACAGCCCCGTCCCTGCTCCCCCCGGCGCAGACCCCATCCCACCTGCCCTGGCACCGCCCTTCCCGCAGGCCTCGCCCCCCCTCGCCGGCTGCTCAGACGTCACTTCCGTCGCGCGTCGCCCGCGCTTCCGGGTACAGCTGAGTGCTTCC